ATCTCAGATAAGTACATAAAATGTAAACTGGAAGTGTTCTCTTTTATTTTTTAGTTTAACATTAGTAAACTTAATGGATACTTGTACATACTACTTTTTGCTAAGGGATCTCTATCAGTAATTTGTAAATGTGTGGGAGAATGGTATGGTGGTTAGGGTATCCCATTGGGCTGCCACTGTCAGAAACTACCACTTTGGACACGTCTGTTTTTGAGACTCCCTTGCAAATGCAGTTCATCGACTACTGGTAGTCCCCAACAAACACATCAAGTGAGAAACTGGTACGATCTCAAAGCAAGGACCTCTCCTGTTCTAGACTGTTCAGGCCTTCTGGAGTCATGTGTCTTCTTGGGTTTTCTCCAGGTTCTCCACCTCCCGCAGGTAACCGAATGAGGAAGCATGTGTGAAAGTTGTGTTTCTGCATTTGTCCTCTTTGCTAGTAGTTGAAGTTCATTTTTGCAGTACTGTTCAAAACTCTTACATCACCTCGCCATTTATTACAGTTTCACTTCCAACAAGCCAGACTTTCTTGTAATCTGTTAAAAATGATCTTAATCAACAGTTTTTTAATTACTCTGACAATCTGTCTATAGTTTTTTGTTGTGAATTTTGGCTGCTTTTTCCACTCATTTTTGGTCCAGTACATGAACAATCTGAATATGAATGTCTTGTTAGTTTGATTAGCTACTCTGACCAATGGATCGCCCAGACATAAAGACTCCTCAAGGATGAACAAATTTTATGATGACATATAACAAACAACTTAACAAACAAACAAAAACYTTGTTACCAGCTGCCAGACACAATTTGGCCCAATCTCTTTAACCGAATCAACAGAAAATATTAAAAATAACACAAATGGACAAATAAAACTGTATCTTAACACAAACAAATTTAGCTTTTGTCCCACAAAACAACAGTAGCGAAGATACACGCCCCCAAATATTTTTGGGTGATAAACGTTGGTATCAGGTTGAATAAAAAAGAACATGGTAACAACTTTCCTTATGCTACTTTTAACTATTTTTAAGTACACTAACCTCCCACTTTTGTAACAACTAAGGAAAAAATGTTGTTAGTAGTCATTTTTTAAATGTAATTAAACCCCACCTTGATGTTTCAGGACATGTAGTTGGGTCTCGACCTCAACTTTGGGATCCACCGCGAAGGATGATGCAACTCTCAGGTCATTTTTTAGGCCTGCCTTGACCTCTTTTGTCCTCTACTTACAGAAAGTTGTCTAAAAAGTCTGAACAACTTGCTCAAAAGCACATTAAAAATATTATAATGTCTGTTGTTTTGGATGTAAAGAGTAAAAATACCTTTAAAATATCTTAAAATGTAGTTTAAATTGTACACAGCATCATATCTTAGATAATAAGACTGTTGTGTTTGTGTTTAGCGGAAATAATTCTCTGACAAAGATCCAGTCAGTGTCCTTGAGGACAACCATAAGGCAACACAAAAACAAACAGCTTCTAAACCTGAGAGATGATAGATCTCCTAGCTTCCCTGTGTGTCAAGAACAGCACTGTTTTCTCTCTATTTGTATCTCACTGGTGGCCCTTAACCACTTCCCTGACTAATATCGCTACTGTTAATTGCACTCATGGAAAGGCAATCAAAGGTGTTGAAAGTCTGTCTAAATTAGAGAACTGCCTTTTGTTCTCCGGTCTGTTTGAGGAGAATAGGGCTCACCTCCAGACATAAGTTTTTCCACAAGTTGTTTCCAGCGGTGATAAAGTGGTTAAGTTTAGACAGACGCCGGCGGCGTTGGAGATTTCAAATGAGCTCTTGATGTGCGACAAAGCTGCTGACGCTTCCCCTTTGATGCGCCGCTCTAAATATTATCCTGCAGTTAAGCACCATGTGTCACTTTATCACTTAGAGCGCAGCTCAGCTGTTCAGCGACAAGTGCAGAGACAACGAACAATYACAGCGATGAAATGCAATTTTCTCTTTAAATCCTGTCCGCATCAAAAGCTGTGAAGGGAGCTCTGCGGAGGTGCTCGAGGTCTTCAAGGACACGGAAAAGTGCTCAACGAATGTAATGAAATTCCTTTATTGAAACGCACGTCGTCGTCCTATGTGGTGTGGCCATTGAAGCTTTCCATGATTGTTGAAGACACAAACAGGTCTCCACCCTTGAGCAAATTTATTTTCACACATGCTGGGGTGAGGTGTCTGTGCTTCCTCCCTGCCCTGTCATCGTTTGTTCTGCCGTTGAGTGTGAATACGAAGCAGAGAGGCTCAGCAGAGAAAAATTAAAAATTTGAGGGCTTCTCCTGCTCTGCCGAGTGCCGCTCGRTGATGTCACGGCAGCTCAACAGCTTTCCAGAAGCCCAGCCGTGTCCATCGGAGCAGGGGTGAGAACCCAGACCTCGAGGCTCTGCAGTCCATCTCGGAGTTAGAGCATGTGGCCGTATGACGTCAAAAATCCAGAAACGGGGAGTGCATTATTCTCCCTGATTCCACCCTAACACATTCATGTGTGTGRAATACATCAACACAAGACATTTCTRGGTGCAATTCATTGGTGTTAACAGGTTAAATTTAGAGTGGATTACGCCGCTCTCTGTGTTGTGTAAAGTTAAATTGCTGATGACTTGCGTGACCATAATCGGTGAAGTCATGGCTGTGTTTTGTTGCACTGGTCGGCTTCTCTAATTACTCCCGTGTTTATGTCTGAATCTTGCACACATACTTTTTGTCTAAATGTGGGCAACTCAGAACAGCAGCTCTTTGATCACCTGGATGTGCACCAATGACAATATGTTACGACGAGTGCAGACTTTCCAATATGTGCTCCGCATTAACTTCAAACTTCAAACGGATGCACACATGATGAACTCTCCCCGTCCAGACACTGAAGCATGCAGGGAATGAAATGGAAATCCTATCAAATTCAATAATGTGTCATCTCGTGGTGTTGCAGGAGAACAGACAGACAGGAAGTTTATAAACACGCAAAACAATAACCTATCATTTCTTTAAAGAATGTGAACTGCTCACTACCTTATCTTTTGTTAAGAAATGTTAAAGTTATAACTTTTGGTCAAATCTTGATAAAAACAAAACAAAAAAAACATACTGAATCTCATGTGAAAGTGTCAAGTCTTGCACAATCTGTTAGCTCTCAAATCACCTTATGGCGGTGACTCTCGACTACTACCAAAACAAATTTTAGCTCATTATCTCTAAAACTGATTGACTTACAGTCATTTTTGTGTTTGCTAAGTTCAACTAGCTGTGGCAGCCAAGTTGCATTGGTATATGCATATGACTCCAAATGTTAATCAGTTGTAGATGAACATCCAGAGAATATTTTGTGAAAGTTTTATTAAAATGTATCAAGTGGTTCATGAGATATTTTGCTAACAGACAGACAGGGTGGATGCCAACAGTTACAAGCAAAGTTGTAAGCAAGAATGTTGGGCAATTTATGCAAACACAAAATATTTATCCACAGGGACTCTCAGCTACTACCGAACCAAATTTTAGTTCAACATCCTAAAAACTGTCATACTTGCACAGATTTTTGTGTTTGGTAAAAATAGTTGGTTGCAGTAGCTATCTTACATCGGGTTGGATCCAAAAGTTTATCAGTTGTATATGTAAATCTAGTGATGATATTTTGAGAGCTTTATTACAATCTGTTCAGTGATTCATGAGATATTTTGCTAACAGACATAGAGTGTTGACGTCAATAGTTAATGTCCAAGTTTCAGGCTAACACTTTAGAAGATTTATTAGTGCTCAGAGCATGTGTTGGATATGAGTCTTGGCTGCTAATACTCCAAGTTTTGGCTAGAAACATCTAAATTTCACAGATATTTAACAATTCTGGTGTTTTGTAAATCCAGTCAGCTAGAGTCTCCATTTTGAACTAGGTTGACTCCGAAAGCTAAACAGTTGTACCGCTGCATCTAAAGAATACTTTGCCTGAATTTTACTAAAAACTGTCCAGTAATTCATGAGATATTTTACTAAATCTACAGAGAAACACYTGCACAACACTGCCTGCCTTTCTGCAAAAAAACAACACTGTTCTTCCCCCCTTGTTCCTCAGACACAAATAGAAACACACATTGCACACACTCTTAAAACGATTCCCCATCTCCAGTGCTTAACATTATCAGCATTCTGTGAATTAGCTGTGACTCGGAGCACAGGAGTCTCAAGGGTCAAATGAAATGCCCCCTTTATAAGTGTCACTTCTCCTTCAAGGCAGCAGCTCAGAAACCAACTCTGGTGGCCGCCACCCTTGCCAGGTAGCGATCCAGCATGGCAGTTCATTTCTAAAACCTCAATCCTTTGGCACTTTTCTGCCGCCATGCATGATTCTCCCATCACGAAAAAAAAAAGGAAATACATTTTTAAAAAATAGGCTCTTCTCCAGCCTCTACTGTCTGTTTATGTAGACTACCACCAGGGCGGCAAGGAATGCGCCTCTGCTCGCACACAACCTCCGAGGCCGGGGGAGTCTGCCTCGACCTGCTGATACGAGCTGTTTGTGTTCTACTTCCACGCCGGGGTAAATGTTTTGATTAAAAGGCCGTTACTATTTTGCTAGTCACAATAAGTTTTTAGCGGAGGGGGGATTGCAGGAGTGCTGACGGATGGATTGCCGCTCCCTGCCTCCAGTGAGCGGTTGAGTGAGAGAGAAGCTGTCATCGCCCGGCTGCCGACACCACAGCCTGAAGGGGGAGGAGAAGGCGGGGCGCTGGAGCCTGGATGTGTTGAAGTGGGAGAAGATATGAAGGGAGAGAGAGAGAGAGAGAGAGAGAGAGAGAGAGAGAGAGAGGAACACATGCGTGATGGAGGAGAGGTTAGTTTTGGGTGCAGCTCACCTCACACCCTCGTCCCAGAAGGCGATGAACAAGAGGGGTCTGCTCTGCTGCATTACGTAACCCTGGGAAGGCAGGTGGTCCGATGGAGAACACAAAGCCACGAAGGCTATAAGGAGTTTCACAGCGTTCAGCAATGATGAAACAGCTACACTTGTCTTTATACGCACTGTGTGACGAAAAACGTTACAGGATGACGGCAGGCCAMAAATTGTGAAAGCAAAAAGAGGACCCAAAGTTTTCTTTTAAGAGACTCGAGGACACATTAGAGATGAGTTTCAAAGGGCTTCAGACCAATCTAAGTGACTTTTGGCAGATTTCTCCTTTTTCTGATCCGGCAAATGTCCAGAGCCACAAAAACACAAATCAAACCAGTCAAACTGCTTGAATTATTTAGATATAACAAAAAGGGACATTTTGGATCTTGTGAGGTGCAGTTCTGTGCCAAAGATATGAACGTCTTATTAGTTGTTCTTTAATAACCTTAGTTTGGAGAAACAGAGTTTAATTTTGACCAGAACAACAAGGTGACAGCTGGTCTGAGCTGTTTCAAGGCTAAAAGCAAAAGCTGTGATAAAAGAACTTCAAAAGTTTCACAAAAGTTCATGCAAACACTATTTTATGAAATATGTGATTGCTTGCATTTTTCTGTCAATATGAAGTGAAAAATTGACAGCAGTGTAAAAAATCTTTTAAATTACATTTACATAAACAGCGATTATTTTTTGAGACTGGAGTTGTTTAAAGATGCCAACAGTGTATCCAGACTTGTCATCATCTTGTCAGTCTGGACTGGACTAAACTCTTTTTCTTTAAACTGGAATCGTTCAAAGAGCTATCTGTAACAGGTAAGATACTAATTGTTCATAACCTTCCTAAAAAACCTCCATTTTTAAATATCTGAACATTTTTATGTTCACAGACAGCTATCATCTATATTTGATGCAAATATCAAAACTTACGCAGCAGCAGCAGCAAACTCGGGCAGGTGAGGGGGTCTGTGGTGACAAAGCTTTGAATCATTGCTGGTAGAAAGGTCACACATCGCCCCCTGCTGGAGTTTCAAGCAAAGTACATGAGTGAAAGAAATTTGCTATAAAATACCATTTTAATTTTATGACCAATAAACTTTAAAGCATAGCTTTTTAAAAAAACTCKTTTTGTGTCTTCAAAAACACCTGATATCTGTCACCATTCCGAGTGGGGTCAATCTTTTCTGATAAGTTAGAAGAAAGTTAGATTTGGTTAAAGAAAACATGACAAACTTTAGCCCTGATCAGTGTGTAGCATATAACTTAACAGTTCTTTAAGTATAGCTAAAAATCGTAGTGATAGAACTGTAAATGGTCTTTGTGACAGTTATCTATTGTTTTTGTAATATTTATTTTATAGGTGCTGTTCAGATGCTTTTGCGAGTGACGTGTGCTGCAGTGGGAGGGCTTATCAGGAGTTCTTCACTTTCTGTTTGTGTATAAAATGTCCATGTGAAATAATGTCTTGTAAAGTTTATATTAGCAACCTAAAAGGTCCAGCCATTGATTTAAGCATTTTTTATGGTAGTCCATTCGTGCAACAAAAAGTTAAACACTATTTCATTCTGGATTTCAACATAAACATTGTGACTTTTAAAGTCACAATTAAGATACAAAGTTATAATTATGAAAATAAAGTCTTATAATTTGTAGCTATAATTATCTGAAAATACTTCATAATTATGACTTTGGCCATGTTCACACTGCAGGTCTTWATGCTCAGTTTAAATTTTTTTAACAATCTAATTTTTTTGACCAGAACTTTCCCATTATACTATATTATAAATGCATCTGACTCCAGTGTGAACTCTCTACAGTATCAATACAGTACACGACCGACGTTGGGCATTACTATCAAACTTTTTTTTTTGTAGATTTTCAGTCTCAGTTTTTTAGTTGTGGAAAATTGAAAGAACAAAGACGAAGCAACTGGACTTCTGTTCTGTTGCTGAAGACGTGTGGAGTTACAAGATTTAAACAGCACAAATCAAGGTTAGTGTCATTTTTGTTGGATTGATCCACTCATCCTCTACTCAGATGTAAAAGTTGGTTAAATGCGACATGAAGGTTCAAACTGCAATCGCTTTGAAAAACGGCAGATTTGCGTGAGACTCAGTACCACAGCATACTGAAAAGGCCTGGATCGAATCTGGAAAAAAAAAGATTCGTCACTTTCAGACTATCGTGTAAAAATCCATATAGGTTGCACAGAGAAAATAAATAAATAAATAAATAAATAAATAAATAAATAAATAAATAAATAAATAAATGATTTGAGTCACATTTTCATGCACTTAGCCTTAAAATGTTAATGTATTACATAAGTATATATCTTTCAAAGACTTGTGAAATTGACAGTGTTTGGCTTTTTTTTTGTGGCAGAAATGGGCTTCCAAAAGTGTCGAACCTGGAGATTAAAATTATTTAATTGTTTAGCTTGGTTAACTTTATTCATTTCATAAATAATAATAATAA